AGTATATATATAAGTTTCATGATTAGAAGAGTCATCTGATGTGCCTTGGTCCAGTGAAGCAACCACAGCTGTGGAACGAGAAGCAGGAACCTTAGCCAAACAGCTACAACTATTCACCTGATTAAGAACAGAACTGAGGAAGAGATATCGGAAATCTCAAGAGGCCACAGAAAGAGGACCTAACTCCTAACAGGTGATCAGGTTCCACAAAGGTCTGTAGATGTATTCTGTCCCCAACAGAGAGTAGCTGCAGTATGATCACAGCGTGTGCTGTCTGTTGACAATCTGAGAAATACAGGGCCCACCAGGGATGCTCTCTTCCTGCCATGGGATGAGCAAACCCAGGTGCACAAACCTCACTCTCCAGAGTTGATAAAAGCTCCAAAAACTTCCCACGGGAGGGTTTACAAGACTTACATTGATATCCTAAAAGTCCAGGTCAAGGAAATTATTTAGAGTGGGATCATTTGAAAAAAAAATGGGGACCAACTGTTCTGGGGAACCAGACTTAAACCCCAGGGATATCCCTGCAAGTAAAATCCCCATTGGGGTGGGGTCATCCCATCTTAAGAGACCTTAAGAGTCTTGCCAGCAACCTGTTGGTCAACAGGACTGTCTGAATATCTTGCCCCAAATCCAAGTTCCCCTGGCAATGAGGGGAAGGCTCAAGTAGCCAGAGCATTGATGACAGAATGGCAGGCTATGTTCTCAGGGTATTCCCTTAACACGCTGTAAAACCCAGCTGTAAAACCCAGCTGCTGTAAAACAAGAAGAGGAAGATAGGGGATTTTTTTTTTTAAATATAAGGAATGGTCCACTGACCTACAGGGTGTAGACTTCTTTAATGAGGATTAGAGCTTCTCTTGCTGGTGATCAAAATCTACCTACAGTAGACACATGTGAGGTCACATCTGGTTTAAGTTTGCAGGTATTAGGCCTTTCAGAAAAGAACTGACAAAGGTGCAGAAAACAGGCTCTCTTTAGGGAAGGTCATGTAAATGTTCAAACAGTGGGGATCCCAAGAAAAGGTACTAGGGTAGACATAAAGTTTAGTGCTTTAAGAAACAGCAGGTGCCTCTGAAGGACACTAAAATGGGTCAGGTCCTTGTTGGGGAAGGGAGCAGGAAGAACTGGTCCCAACTGACCATGTAAGTTAAAGGGTCCTTCTGGAGATGAAGAATGCTAAGGGGTAACAAGTACCACGAGGGGTTCAACATTATCTGAGGGTTTAGAATTAGCCTGAAAAAGGGAGTGTAAGTTCTTATAGGGAATAACTCTTGAAGCCAACGTTCCATTTCAACAGGAACAAAGGGTCGCTGGGTGTGGGTAACCCAGAAAGATGCTGGACACAAGGGGTTAGCCTGTGGGCTAAAGAAAGTTTTCTGAGAACCCAAATGACAGGGAGGCAAACTACCCGATGATCAATTTGGATCTACAAATGGCCCTTAACTTGAAGAAGTCTGCACCTTAATGCAGAAAAGCTTATCAGAGAGATTAGATTGGGGGATAGACTCTGAGGGCCTATGGTTATCTGCTGTCAAACTAAATGATGGGCCTCCTTCAACCCCTCTATTGATCCTCCTACATTGGGAAAGAAGCACATTCTGGCCATTTGTGGCATATCTAATCACAGTGCCATGAGCAGGGCTGAAGAGACAATGTCCCTCAAAGGCTACTTGGGTCAGATGCTCCTTGGATGAAGAATCAGCATCCCAACTATGCAGCCAAAGTTCTCTCTGCATCTGTATAGACATCAGTCGCATGTGAGACACAACTTTAAATGCTTGTAAAAAACCATCATAACAAAAGGCTTTAGACATTTGCTCCAGCAAAGAGTAATGACTCTTAAGGCAGATAAAGCAGAAAGACCTTTTGCAGCTGTAGGAGCTCTAAAAGACCCAAGTCCTATAATAGTAAACTGATCTTCCAAATAAGGGGTAACAAGCACTGCATCAATAAGGTTTGAAATAATCCTCTGTAAATCTGTTTCAATGGCAGGAGACTGCAGTGTCCCAAAAACAGTCCCTTCAGACATACAGTTGAATCAGAGATAGTAACAGAGGCCTCATGTCTGGTTTGATACAAAAGAGGAGGGGGGGGGGGGGGGTAGGGAGAGACTCTGCAGGCACTGTGCAGCTGTTTATTATGCCATTGAGGGTTTAATCACATAAGAGGAGAGAAATTGGAAAGAAGGATTATCCTGACAGCATCTGCAATATCCTGGGGTTCTGAGCTGTATATGAGCTCCGATAATTTGGAGATCCAACTTTAAGGGTTAGGATTTTTGACACACTGGTGGTGAATGTTGCACTAGGGGTGTGTAGACACATACAATTTGTTTTGAAAAGACACAAGAGTATAGAAATAGAGAGAGCTAGGAAGTGAGGACACTTATTGAATTAAAGGATTTATTTGTATATATGATATCAATGAACATAGTATTTGAATTTTGGGATGAATTGTTGAGTTTTTATATATTAGGATCACGTTTTGAGGTTCTGCACTGCTTGTTATCTTATAAGGGGAGTATAGGCTGAGGTCACCTGAGGTAGCATGACTGTTCTGTTTTTGTCTTTGAGAAGATATGTTGCATCTCGCAGCAGTAAGGCAACTAGGCCCAATGTGAGGCAAGATCTCGAGTTCTCACAAACCCACGCAACTGGTGCTGATGACTGTAGGTGAGTACTGGAACTAGACCAGAGATCCACATGTGGCTTCCTCTAGGCTGAATAGCTAGAAAAAGTACATAGAGTATTTACAGCACTTTCCCCCCCTAGCAGATGACATAATTGCTTTATTATTTAGCCCTAACCTTACTGTGGTAAAGGTGAGTCTCCAAAAAGATAATTACACCTGGGGCTGTGCCATGGCTCTGGACTCCGGAAGCATTTTGCTCTACAGTCACATCGCTTTCTAGGTTATCCCCACACATCCAGTCTAGATGGGTCCTGGTTGGCCTGCAAAACTAATGCTGTGGAAACAGCAGTCCAGACAGAGTTTCTATAAAGACCAGCTCAAGGAGTGGGGTAGTGAAGAATCTTGATGGAAACTACTGATGAAATAATGTTCCACTAAGCAAAAAAGGCTAGCAAAAAATAAGTACACTCTTCCAGGCCATTCAACCTTCTAGAACACTAGCAAAAAAGTCATGCTGGATAGGGAGGGGTTATACAGTGGCTGGCTTACAACGTTTCTGTTTGCTAGTGCCCTAACCTTTGGAAGGTGGCTGTTTCTGAATTACTGTGTGTCAGGAATGGACTCAGCACTGGTGGTGGGACTCACCTGCCGTGTGGGCTGCAGTACCAGGGATGACCAGCGGGTGCTCTCAGCAGCCAGAAGCTCACTCCTGCAGTCAGCCAACACCTGAAGCTGATTGCAGGAAGTGTATTTAAGGAATGACCAGGCCTGTGATCAGGGCCTTGGTGTATGTTTCCCATGAGCCCCTGTACCTGGTATCCTGTGTTCCTGCCTCGTTGCTGACCCTGCTTTGATCCTGATCTCTGCTGACCGTCTCCTGTTGAACCCCTGGCTTGCCTGACCATCCTTCTGCCTGATCCTCGGTACCGCACTGCCTGCTACCTGCTGAACCTGGCTTGTGACCCCGACCATTCTCTGCTTGCTCCTCCTCTACCACGCTGCCCGCACGATACTGACCCGGCCTGTCTGACTACGGTTACATCACCCGACGATCCATCCTGCACAGATCACCTTTAGTAAGTCTGTCTGCCTCTTCCCATCAGACTCCGTTCCTGCACTCCCCTGCCAGTACTCTCTACCACAGCCGGACGCACTCAGGGGTCGCGACCTGGTTCCAGTCTGCACCCATCCCCACCATCAGGGGCCCTGGTGAATAGCAGGCTGGGACTTAGACCCCGCGCCCTGAGGAAATCTGTGCTGTGGGCTGCTAGAGACACCGCCAGGCGGCACCTGACAGTACCTTACGGCCTGCCTGACCATTCCACCTCTCCTGCCTGACTACACCTGTGTTCCTGAAGCCTGCTACTTCCCTGTGTCAGTCCACACATTTCTGGTCATACCCGGATCCCTAACAGAACACCAAGGCCAGTCCTGACCAGAAGTGGCTGCACAGGGAAGCCATCTTGGCTTATTGTTGTGAAGGATGCATCCTGAGGATGTTGTATATTTGTGTCTGCTAGTCTTTGACAGAGATTATGCCTATGAGACTCTGCAGGAGTATACCAGGGATCAGCTGCTAGAATGCATACGGATCGCTCATTTTCTAGTGGATCAGGGCACAGAGTTCTCTGAGGTGCAGCCATTGATTAAGGTTTGTGCAGAGTTGGCTTCGTCTGGTGCCCTTGAGGGAAAAGATGACTTTTTGCCACCATTTAGTGCAGACCAGGTAGAGTCCCTGGTATGGTTATTAGAGGATGAACACGGAGAGCTCTTCCATCAAGACATTGCAGCTATGGAAAGAAGATATCAAGGTAAATGGAGCCCATCAATGCTTGATTTGGATTACTTCTTGGAGCATTATTCTGCATGTTCACAACAGGTGCTTAGGGATTGTATAAACGCAGTGCAGTCTTTGACCAGACGGGCTTTGTGTAAGCTGAGCTTTGTTCAGCCAGTACTACAGTCATGGTCAGATTTGTTACATCCAGCCTCAGTCAGCTTGCAACAACCCAGTCCTGCTTCTAACCATTACTCTGCTCAAAGCTCTCTTCCTCCAGTTCCCACAGCACCCCCAGTGACAGCCCCGTATACCCTGCTAGCTACCACATGTCAGTCCCCTGCTCCTACTACTCGCTGCACCTATCCTGCCTTTTACCCTGTAAAGAAGCCCTCTGTAGCAATTGCTCCCTCCTTTGTTCCATCCTCTGGCTCTTCCCTGTCTTCAGCTGCTCCATCCCTTTACAGACCTGCATTCACTTACAGTGCTCCAGTAACTAAACCCAAGAAGAAGCAAAAATTCTTTCCAACCAGTACCATCCTACTAGTATCCAAACCGGTCAGCCTGCTGTCTGAGGACCCGCCTTCCGTTGTCCAGCCTGATGCCCTGATGCCCGATGACCCGATCCAGCCAGATGACTCAGTGCCCGCTGTCGAGCTTGGTGACCCGGTGCCCGCGGTTCTGCTAGATGACTCGTTGCCCGCTGTCGTGCCAGATGACTCGTTGCCCGCTGTCGTGCCAGATGACTCATTGCCTGCTGTTTTGCCAGATGACTCGTTGCCCGCTGTTGAGCTTGGTGACTCGTTGCCCGCTGTTCTGCCAGATGACTCGGTGTCCGCTGTTCTGCCAGATGACTTGTTGCCCGCTGATAAGCTTGGTGACTCGGTGCCCGCTGTCGTGCCAGATGACTCGGTGCCCGCTGTCGTGCCAGATGACTCGGTGCCCGCTGACTTGCCAGATGGCTCGGTGCCCGCTGACTTGCCTGGTGACTCGGTGCCCGCTGTCGTGCCAGATGACTCGGTGCCCGCTGTCGAGCTTGATGACCCGGTGCCCGCGGTTCTGCTAGATAGCTCGGTGCCCGCTGACTTGCCCGGTGACTCGGTGCCCGCTGACTTGCCCGGTGACTCGGTGCCCGCTGTCATGCCAAATGACTCGGTGCCCGCTGTCGTGCCAAATGACTCGGTGCCCGCTGTCGTGCCTCTGCCCGCTGCCCAGCCTGACGTGCCTCTGCCCGCTGCCCAGCCTGACGTGCCTCTGCCCGCTGCCCAGCCTGACGTGCCTCTGCCCGCTGCCCAGCCCGACGTGCCAGCCCCTGATGTCCAGCTAAACTGGCCAATAACTGATTCCCAGCCTCCTCTTGGAAATCCTGTGTCCAGCGACCTGCCTTCCTGGGTTCCCCTACATAAAGAGAAGTCTGCCAGCAGGAAACCCAGCCAGCCGGTTGACTCCGGCAGTAAGATATCCAGCCAGTTACCTGACCCGGGCGGTGGAACATTTTGCCCACTAAGGACTGTTTGGAGCGTCCTGAGGCCGCTCCTTGAGGGGGGGGGGGGTACTATCAGGAATGGACTCGGCACTGGTGGTGGGACTCACCTGCCGTGTGGGCTGCAGTACCAGGGCTGACCAGCGGGTGCTCTCAGCAGCCAGAAGCTCTCTCCTGCAGTCAGCCAACACCTGAAGCTGATTGCAGGAAGTGTATTTAAGGAATGACCAGGCCTGTGATCAGGGCCTTGGTGTATGTTTCCCATGAGCCCCTGTACCTGGTATCCTGTGTTCCTGCCTCGTTGCTGACCCTGCTTTGATCCTGACCTCTGCTGACCGTCTCCTGTTGAACCCCTGGCTTGCCTGACCATCCTTCTGCCTGATCCTCGGTACCGCGCTGCCCGCTACCTGCTGAACCTGGCTTGTGACCCCGACCATTCTCTGCTTGCTCCTCCTGCATCACGCTGCCCGCACGATACCGACCCGGCCTGTCTGACTACGCTTACTTCACCCGACGATCCATCCATCCCGCACGGATCACCTTTAGTAAGTCTGTCTGCCTCTTCCCATCAGACTCCGTTCCTGCACTCCCCTGCCAGTACTCTCTACCACAGCCGGACGCACTCAGGGGTTGCGACCTGGTTCCAGTCTGCGCCAAGTCCATCCCCACAATCAGGGGCCCTGGTGAATAGCAGGCTGGGACTTAGACCCCGCGCCCTGAGGAAATCCATGCTGTGGGCTGCTAGAGACACCGCCAGGCGGCACCTGACAGTACCTTACGGCCTGCCTGACCATTCTGTCTCTCCAGCCTGACTACGCCTGTGTTCCTGAAGCCTGCTACTTCCCTGTGTCAGTCCACACATTTCTGGTCATACCCGGATCCCTAACACTGTGCTTCTCAATAGAAATGTTATTTTTGCCACGTTTTTTAATGTTTGAACTTGCTTGCTACAATACTACATTTGTAGAATCTGGTGGCTGCTGTATTTGGTTGAAATCTGAAGTCTTTTTCCCGCAGCAAACCCACACTTGTGACAGGAACTCAAGTGCCAACTATCCTTGCCCTTTCTGCCCCTATGCACCTCTCAAATACACTGTACTATAAGTTCCCCCAATGAAAAGCAATTTGTGATTGGAGAACCTTTGATTCAACTGCCCATCCTCCATTCATAGAGCGCTTTTCATTGTGGGAACTGAAAGTACAGCTTCTTAGAAATAAGCATGGAAGCAGAAAGGGTGGGCATGGTCAGCACTTGATGGGGGCACTCGCTCTTAACAAAACATAACTTCATTGACCTTTGAGAGGACTTAACTTACAGTTAGGTCCATATATGTTTGGACATAGGCACAGTTTTCGTTTTTTTTCAAGTATTTACCAAAACATATTCAAGCTATAGTTATATAATGGATATGGGCTGAAAATGCGCACTCTCAGGTTTCAGGTTTAATTTGAGAATATGTACATCCAAATTGGAGGAGGGGTTTAAGAATTACAGCTCTTAAGAGTAGCCACCCCCCCCCCATTTTTCAAGGGACCAAAAGTAATTTGACAATTGAATCAAAAGCTGTTTCATGGCCAGGTGTGGGCTACTCCTTCGTTATTTCTTCATCAATTGAGCAGGTAAAAGGTCTGGAGTTGATTCTAAGTGTGGTGTTTGCATTTGGAATCTATTGCTCTGAACCTACATCATGCGTTCAAAGGAGCTGTCCATGCAAGTGAAACAGGCTATTGTAAAGCTTCAAAAACAAAATAAATCCATCAGAGAAATAGCAGCAAGGTTAGAAGTGGCCAAATCAACAGTTTGGTACATTGGGAGGAAAGAAGAATGCACTGGTGAGCTCAGCAACATAAAAAGGCATGGACATCCACGGAAGACAACAGTGGTGGATGGATGCAGGATACTCTCTATAGTAAAGAAAAACCTATTCACAACATCCAGACAAGTGAAGGACACTCTCCAGGAGGTGGGAGTATCATTATCAAAGTCTACAATCAAGAGAAGACTTCACAAGAGCAAGTACAGAGGGTTCACCACAAGGTGCAAACCATTCATAACCCTGAAGAATAGAAAAGCCAGATTAGACTTTGCCAAAAACATCTAAAAAAGCCAGACCAGTTCTGGAAAAGCATTCTTTGGACAGATGAAACTAAGATGAATCTGTAGCAGAATGACAGGAAGAAAAAAAGTGTGGATAAGGCTTGGAACAGCTCATGATCCAAAGCACACAACGTCATGTGTAAAACATGGTGGAGGCAGTGTGATGGCATGGGTATGCATGGCTTCCAGTGGCACTGGGCCATTGGTGTTTATTGATGATGTGACAGAAGACAGAAGCAGCCGGATGAATTCTGCAGTGTTTAGAGATATACTGTCAGCCCAGATTCAGCCAAATGCAGCAAAGTTGATTGGACGGCACTTCACAGTACAGATGGACAATGATCCAAAACACACTGCAAAAGCAACCCAGGAGCTTTTAAAGGAAAAGAAGTGGAATATTCTACAATAGGCGAGTTAGTCACCTGATCTCAACCCCACTGAGCATGCATTTCACTTGCTGAAGGCAAAACTAAAGGCAGAAAGACCCACAAAGAACAACTGAAGACAGCTGCAGTTAGAGCCTGGCAAAGCATCAGAAAGGAGGAAACCCAGTCTTTGGTAATGTTCCATGGGTTCCAGACTTCAGGCAGTCATTGCCAGTAAAGGATTCTCAACAAAGTATTATGAACATTTTATTTATGATTATATTCAATTGTCCAATTACTTTTGGTCCCTTGAAAAAAGGAGTTGACTACTCTTAAGAGCTGTAATTCCTAAACCCTTCCTCCAATTTGGATGTACATACCCTCAAATTAAACCTGAGGGTTTGCACATTCTGCCCATATCCAATATATAATTATAGCTTGAATATGTTTTGGTAAATACCTGTAAAAAACTAAAATTGTGCCTGTGTCCAATTATATATGGACCTAACTGTATATCCAAAACCATAATTGTTTTTGTTTAGTTGAATAGAGTGGGGGACAGTTAAAACCTTTTTTCTGCCATCTATGTCTCAGGGAGATTTCCCTTCACTACTTGTCTTGTAGACTCAACAGAAAGATAATATCTTTCCAATCCATTCTATCCCTGTTCTGGCAGCAACACAATGTTTGATTTATGCTCACATTTTTATTTCTGGAGGCTCCGATGATCAAGACAGTTGAAGAGAATGTATCTTCATAATTGGGATATAGACAGCAACAAAAACAGGGGTTCTAACCCCTTTTCACTCTATCCAAATCTAAAAATTTTTTATCTTTACTTATACCTTAACCCCTGGAAAGGAAATGTCACTTTTCTGTTTTTATCTCAATAACGACTTTGGATGCTGGACCACTTCCTTACAAAATAACAATTTTGCCATCATTAGCGAAATGTCTCCACACTCTTTGTAGATCATTCCCAACATACTAATATGCTTCACACCATCTCCCAGTAATTATCATTGGGGACTCAACCATTTCTTTCTTTCCACTCAACAAACCACACTCGAAAGACAAGATGGTCTCATCTCTTCCAAAACAACTCTGCACCTACTGACTCCCTTACTATCCTTTGGGAGGCTCGTAAAGCATCGCTCAAAACATGCCTTGAGGTTACTCAGACCAAAATGAATTTGCTCCATAATGCCATAAGTGAAATAGAACTCTATTGATAGAAACTACAATCAGACCCTTACTCATAGATAGAAGTAACAGGAACGGTTGAAATTTTTCCCCTCTTCTCTTTATAATCATCATTGAACCCCTAGCTATGCTGATCCATCAAAATCCAAATATCCAGGGCTAATATACAAGCTAAAATCAGTCTATTTGCTGATTATATTTTACTTACCCTTTCTAAACCGATAAAAAACCTTGCATCCCTGTTCCAAACTATAAATTACATCTTTTCAATCTTCAGACTTCAACTTAACCAGTCCAGATCATAGTTTCTAAATATTACCCTACCCATGCACATGGTTAATTAATTCAAAATGTACTATATTATTGTCTGGGCAAATGCAACACTAGAATACTTGTGTATTTAAACTTCTCTTCCTCCAGAAGCGTGGTTAAAATGGTGGACTGAGCAGACATGCCCCCCGGGGCTTTGCTGGCGATTTATCCTGCTTTTACCCTTCACTGATTATGTTAATCACTTGCTGGGAACTAATCTATTTAGGACACCTTGCTGACTCCGTGGGATGCCTAAAGGGGTAAGAAACTTTGTTTTCTCCTGTACATTGAGTTGACCAGCTTTGCGGCGAATGTAGTGTGAATCCCAAGGACAGTAGCCAATATAGCCTTCCAGACAGATCAGCTCATTGCCACTGAACCCAATATTTAAAATCTCAACAAATATGGCTGCTATTGCCACTTATCAGGTGGCTTTGACCTGTAAAATTGACTTTGTACAGATAGATATTGGACTGGTCTGACAGGACTTGGATAAAATTAGAACTCTACTTACCACAACAGAAAAGAGCCTTCGCCACATGGAAGATGAAACCAC